ATTTTAAAATATTCATCAGTTAATGTCTGTGCATATATGTCTATGAACAAACCAACATTAGAAGATAAACATACCTATAAATGGGTAGACAAGTTCCACCTACAAAGAAATGTTGTAGGCCTCCTCAAAACCAAATCCAACAATGATTTCCACCAAACACGTATGAGAATGACAAAGCAATATACAAAAATATCAACAATACCTCATATATAATTTCTTTCCATGATGAAATATGGAAAGATGATACTGGGTCATTTTTGCTTTTGTATTGGAAATTGCAAAGGTCTTAAATAACAGTTTCTTCTCCGTGAAAAATTTTTCCTAAACTTTACCTACGTGATATTTAATTTATCATATTTTTACATGTCATTAATGGTTCAACCAGAGCCTTTCGTCATGAACAAAAAATTAAAAGAGGCTTACAATAAATGTCAACAAATTATACGGTTTAAATATGAACAAGCATCCTCTGGTATAAAAGTGTAGAACTATTACTCTTGATTAAAAGAATAATGTATATTAAAACTTGAAGTAAGTTTTCAGATTAAATATCCTAAATTTTAACCTAGTCACTATTTTAGTTTCTTAAATATAAACAAAATATGAGAATATATGAAAATGTTTACCTAGATCCTAGAGTATACCATTATTGGTTTCTTAGATTCTACATTTAAAATATCTTGCACAATATTTCCAATATCCAGGATTTCACTGTATAGAATTTCTATTAGATTAATGGTATTTTATAGAATTCTTACAGTCAGCCATTTCATTGAGGATATGAACCTGATCATATTATCTACTAATGCGTGTAATAGAAAGTAGAAAATACAAGTTAAATTACTAACCCACTTTAGATGAAATGTAATCAAACAAACAGAAACATCAACTTAGTGTAATAACTGTCACAGGGAACTATAGCCTAATAAAATATTTAAACAAAAATCATAAAATAACTATTATATGCTGCCACCACACAAGGATGCTCCAAGATAATCTAAACTTTAGATTCTATAGTTATTAATTCTATAATTAACAATATTCTAGACAGCATCTTTATTGGGAAAAGGAGCCAAAAATATAAACTACTTTGGTTGCTGTTAAAATTGATTAACTAGTATTAAGATATTCATATTAGTTTGATGTTAATATAGTAAGCATTAATATTTTAACATATATACTAAGAATGTGTGGTAAGTACTTGACAGTACTCAATACCCTACTATGTTTCACAGCCTGTATGGTCTGCTGAGCAGTTTTTAATGGGTCCTTTATCTGAAGGTAGATGAAGTATGAGTGTAGGGTTGGAAATTCAGTCTTTCACTCAGAGTTGGAATACTGTCCCCAAGAAATGCTAAACGGTACTTATTATTTTCCAATAAATGATATTATAGCCTAATTTACATAGCCACTTCTTACTTGTAAGACTGCTGTATAAAAAATAGTTCATGCTACCATTGCTTAGCTGTGACATGACTTGTCCTTAAGTAGGGCATTGCTCTGCTGAATGACAGCCAATAGGAATACAGGTGATCAGGGATGTGAGCCTTTTGTAAATGTTTCCCTTTATCATATCAGACACTGAGAGGTGAAACTGGGTTTATCCTCTTGCTGTTATTGTTCATTTTCATCTTTATCTTCTTTATATTAGACATAAGAAGCTCTAAATAGTCCAGTGGAATAAAAACAAATACATTTATGCTTAGGGAAACCATAATAAAACTACAGAACACCAAAGACAAAGAGACTTTAAGAGTTATTGGGAAGAAAAGCTGGATAAACTAAGAGGAAATGACCATTATACTGTTAGGAGATTTCTCAGTATGAGCACGAAAGCCAAGAGCCAGAACAATTTTCATATAAACAAAATGGCTGAGTATGGCTCTCTCAATGCAACATAAGTAGATGCTTAATAAAGTGCAATTCAGAACATTTCATAGATTGTAGGCAACAAGGGGCTGCTCCAAGTCCTGAAAGAGACTGAAGAGGGGAGTGGTGAAAAAACAGAAACACACCACAGAATGTACTAGTAAAATCACACGGAGAATATACTCTCCATTTTCTAAACTTATGTACATGCAAAAGGAAAATGACACTGGGCGGAAACAATTTCTGGCAGTGACTACTTATGGGTGGTAGGATTATGGAAGATTTTGATTTTATTTATTTCTGTATTTTTTTCTATAGTGATGATTTATCACCTATATAATCAAAATATTAATGGTATATGTTAATAAAATAATTAAAACACCAACTATATTACAAGACAGCTGTAACACTCCAAAAAATAAGAAGGCTAGGAAAGTGAGCAAGCTGTTCAGACCCGCTGCTGGGGCTGCTGACCAGGAAGGAAGTGCCAGGGGCAGCCTGGCTGGGCTCAGCAGCAGAAGCCGGGCTCACACCGCTCCGAGAGGGAAGGCAGCAATGCAGCCTGTGAGGCACTCACTGCATCTGGCTTGGACTCAGGCAATGCACCTGCAAGCGTCAAGGGTATCTAGTGGGAATTCCAGAAGGAGAGAGAATAAAGCAATAGTAACCAGAAGTTAGCCAGAATTATACAAAGCAAGGTCTGCAGGCTTCAAAAACTGCACCTAGTGCCAAAAAGGAGAATTTATACATATCAGAGAGAAATTTAGGAACATTGAAAACAAGAGAAAATTCTGAAAGGTGCCAAAAAAGTATAAAGAGTCAGGGGACATCAGACTTGAGACAATGGTGTGATATAGTTAAGTTTCAAAGAAGAGATATTTTATACTGAAATTTTATAAACTATAATTTACATGTGACGACAAAATAAATGTATTGGTAGGCATTTAAGGTTTCAAAGAATATGCCACATAAAATTTCTCTTTGAAAATATTTCATGAAGGATTTACTCCAGTGAAAAATGAAATCAATCCATGTACAAAAAACTAGTTAAAGAAAGTTAAGGATAACAAAGAGAGTTCATTGTTACTTAAACATGCCATAACAAAAATAGGGACACTTATAATATAGGTATCAATTATTCCAAGTACTTAACAAGGGTTGGGAGGAATGCTGGGAGCTGAGAGCAGGCTAAAGTATACATTTTGCTTGAGATGGACTAGGCAGGAATGTTTATTAATGAGCTTTAGACATTGATAGGAAAAAATAAGCAACACAGAAACAGAATATGAAATGCTCAGTTTAGTAGAAGAAAATCAATTTATCCAAAAGAAATTGGAAAAAGAACAAAAAAGAAGCAAGGCTACTAACAGCAACCCTACCACCTCGACCCGCTTCCTCACACACACACACACACACACACACACACACACACACACACAAACACACACACACAACTGAGTTGCTAAAATAAGCCTTGGTGGAATAGTAATTATTGTCAATGTAAATAGATTACCAATTAAGACAGACTCATAGAGTGCCTGGGGGGATAAAAAGCTAAAAGTTTTTTTCTACAAAAAATAGGTGTGAGGCAAAAGGAAAAGAAGATAAAAACAAAGGAATGTAATAAGGACTAACAGGGAAATATGAACTAAAAGAAAGACGAGGTAGAACACTTAAAAATGCAAAGTAAAATTTAAGATTAAAACCATCACAATGAAAACAAAGGGAATAAAATTTGGTGGAAAAAGAGAATCATTATGAGCACATATACACCTAAAGTGCATCCTTGAACACTATTAGGCGGTAATTGTCATGTGTATGTATGTTAACCACATTTGTTCCTTAAATCTGCGCTTTCTAGTTCTTTGATTAGCCCTAGTCCTCGTTGGTCTCTGTGTGTCTTATTTACATCCAGCATTGTCCTACTTACTTGAGCTTTAGCATGTTTGAGAATGTTTTAAACAGTTGAGGGAGAAAAAAAGAAGTTGTATTCAAATAGTCCAGGCTTTGTTAAAAGATTTTTACTAAAGTTACTTGAAAACGGGGTCAAAATGAAACGAAAGCACTTACTATAACTTTTATTTAACCATTCTGCCTGTCTCCTCATTTCTCACCTAGTAACGGGAGACATACACACAACCTTCCTAACGTTCCAAGCTTCCTTGTAATCTGTGAGCTACAGAAGTTAAAAATCAACAACACAAAAGCTAAAAAAATCCACAGGCAACTGTCCTCTAAATACTGGCCTTTGTACAGTGCCCATGAATCAATTATATTTATTCCTAAATTTTTAAAGGAGTCTATTTTTATATTCCTTGCTCTTCCTGTAGAAAAGCAAAATACCAAAATAGCAACATGAAATTAGTCACATGAGGGCATTTTTATAACTGGGAATAAAATATTTCCAGTCTACATTGTGTCTTAATCTTCCTACTTAATCAGCTTCCTATATATAAAATATAAATACAAAAGTAATAAACGTACAAGCAAATCGCTCAGCTTCTAAATGCTTTGATTAGTCACTAATAACTATCTGTGGAATTTTCCTCTTTGGGGATTATTATTTTCAAAAACCATTTCATGCATTACTTCAGGATCCTAACACCACATTTACTTGCACATAATGATTTCCCCTTCACCAGACTCTATTTCTGCATTTGCAATAAAAAATACTGTCATTACAACAAATAAAAATACTGTATTCTACAATTTTCAGCATTCAAAAGTAAAACTATGTAATTAAAATGCAACCATCTCTACCCACCTTTTATAGGCAACTTTGTTAATACAGAAATGAACCACTAATTAAGGGGCAATGGGTACTCTAAGCACTAATATAGTCTCTTTGTTTCACCCACCAAATATATATATGTATCTTAAATTCCTTTGGCTACTATCTGTTGGGAAAAGGCTGTCAGGTGAGCCAAGGCTAATAGATTCTCCACTGGCTTCTGTTACGGCTCATGTCATACTATTAAAACCATGTGCCTTGAAAATGGCATAATATATGAATCAGAATCCTGTCAACTCTAGATAATCAGACTCCTTTGGCTGCAGGAGCAGATGCAGATGAGAGAAGAGATATAAATATGCAAATCACAGCGGCCCCCTTTCAGCACCACAGTTCCTACCTCTAATGGCCCTCGCAGAATGTCTGCTTGCTCAGCTCCCACTTCCAGGGCTACGTCCACAGAAGCAAAGGGACGGCTGGCCATCTGCTGTCGTTCTCGAAGCAGTTGCTGGAAAGAGTTAAAAGTGATTTGTTTTAAAATAGGTTTACACACATCACATTCACAGTACCTTGTTCTATTTTTAACAAAGGGCAGTCAACATTTAAAAACCAGCTAATGCGCATATTCATATCCAATCACTCTACATGAGAATTGTTTTTTCTCCATGGCCTGGGTTATATGCCACAGAGACTTTCAGTGAATGGCCTGCAATGAATGGCCTGCAATGAACTTCTCCCTGACCCCCATCCTGCAGCCCTAATGAAATGTGCTCAAAAGCATTTTGAAAACTTCCAGGAAGAGGCGTTACTTAAGTGAGAAGTGCTATTAGAAAAATAGCTATGCCAAGTTTCTCCCCTTCTAACTCATGCTTTTGTCTTAGCTGAAAGCAAATAACAGTAAAAATGTTTATGGAAAGTTAATGAAAAGTTGTCAGAATGCGTTCATAGAGATGAAAGGAACGTATGCCTTCCAAGACTAAGCCTGGTAAGTCAGCAAGGTCCCCAGTCCATTGCTAAGAAACCAGCAGTAGTTGCTGGCAACATTTACAACTTTATTCAAAGCTCTATGCTCATGGTATGAAACGAGGGATGAGGAGTGTGTCACAAAAATTCTGTCCCAGGGCTTCACCCCCAGATATTGGTTTCTTTCCCCATTTGCCGATCCTGGGCTTTGGCCAAGCTAACACCAATAAACTAGCCAGTCCCAACCAATGTTCAAGCAAATTTATATTTCTGACTCTCCTTGTAGTTATAATATTCATTAGGTCATGATAAGAAAAAATTGATGACTGGCACAAGATATTGCAAATTGTGCCCTTCTTATTCTATACAGCTAATACAACTATTATTAAATATTAAAAGTGGAGGAGCAATGCAATTAAATACTCTTTCACATGAGTAGAAAACGGTATCGCTGAAGAAAGGCAAAATCCTTGAACACAATGAAGGGCTTCATCATTCACTGCGATCTTTTAAAATTCACGGGCATTAACTTAAAATGCTAACTAGTCTCCGAATGTCCATGTACAGAGTACTGAAATGCATCATTCATAAGATTCCCTTTCAGATGATGAAGGGATGCAAGGCAACGCCCGATGGCAGTTCATTATTTAAGATTTTGTTCTAACACTCGTGGCACAGCAGTGACTCTGGTCATGAAATGTGCAGGTAAAGTAGAACTTAAGGCCTTGCTTTGTTATTATTAAAAAGAGACCATCCACATGCCAATATGGGATAAAAATAATACAACTATTATGAATTAATAGTTTTTCTTTAAAAAAGATGTACTAAAACATTTAAAGTAAACATAAATGTGATCTAAACCACCTAATTATTAGCTTTAATATAAACTCAAAATTATATTATTTAAAATACAGCTGCTAAGCAAGAAGAGTCTTATTTGTGCCTTTCTCAATGGGAGAGGCCAACTGATCTGAATGTCTATGCAGAATGCAAACGTAATGTTCAAACTAGAGGCCCAGTGCACAAACTCAGTGCACAGGTATGGTCTCTAGCAGCTGCCTGACGGGGCCTCCCTTCCCCTGGTAACTGCCTGCCACCACTGACCCCTGGTCAAACTCCTGGTTGAACTCCTGGTAGAGGGGACAATTTGCATATTAGGCTTTTATTATATAGGATACCAAGGGATACCAACTATAGAAAACACCATGCTCTGTCTCTGATAAAAACATAAGTGCATGCATACACACACACACACACACACACACACACACACACATATACAATATACATAGTAACTTTCCTATAATAATATGCAAATAACTTGGAGAAAATTGTAAATTATAATTTAGGTTTGAAAACAATTTTCTAACATTTGTATTAAAAAGTTTCTTTATTAATACTAGTTGTCCTCAGTTAACAAATGGTAGCTCATACATTACATGATTTTTAACAAAATTAACAGCTTCTGTTTCTTCATCTTATGTACCTTTCTCCTACACTTAAAAGGTCTACAAAATACAATTAATGAATAGTCGATACCACAAACTATAATATAAATGTACAAATATTCCCAATTCACTATTTTTTACAAAAAGCTAGTTTCTGAAACCTAATCTATCATTATGACCATAACATTCATAATAAAGAAAAATCAGTGACAGTCATATTGTTCAACTTTTTATTTATTAGAATATAGAAGTATTTTTTAAATTCTCGTCTGTCTTCTGAGCTTTGCTTTTCCATTATTTTTTAAGAACTGAAGCCTAGTACAGTATTCTTTATAAAAAAGGAAAAAAAAACACACCAATATTCTTGCCCAATACCTAACCCTATGGTTTGTAAACAACACACGCTAACATAAAAAAGAAAAAGAAAACTAGGGCAGAGGTGATCTGCAGTGAAGGATACAAATAAGGAATTAACCAGATAAATTTACTCCAAGGTACTCAGCAGAGGACTGGTTCAAGGACTCTAGCCAGCATACTGAGTTTCTGACTTTAGGAAATTAATGTAAATGGTCTGACTGGGAAACTTTGAGCTAAGGGACTAAAATAATATAATGGGACAATATCTGCTACAAATTTCTGGCCCTTAGAATCCTCAACAATTGTCCCCCCTTCTGCTGGTTAATATCTGTATGCATTACCTCCCATTTTTTGCCCCCTTTATGTCAAAAGAAAGAAAAGATAAACAGCAGGCTTACAACTTAAATTTTGTCTAAATTTAATATAAATACTGACAGGTGATATAACTACACTTGATTCAGAAAGACCTGTGTTTGACTACTAGTTTGTGTACTTGTTAGCTGTTTGAGCTTAACTGAATTGAGACCTCTCAAAGCCTCAATTTTTCCCATCTGTGAAGTGGGGACATTAACATCGCCTATACCTACTCATATGCCTCACAGGGTTGATTTAGTCCCAATTTCTCCACCCACTATCTATTGGACCATAATCAAATGAGCTTTTAGGTTTTTCTCATGCTTATTTCCTCTGGATAAAAAAGGAAATAATAATATAAGGTTGGGACTAAGGAGATCATGCAATGGGCTGCTCAGCACAGAGGCCGGCACACTGCGAGCACTCTATGACTATTCACTGGTACAATTATTATGTCAAATTCCAAGTACTAATTCGGTCTTTCGTGATGGCACACTAATTACCTCGGCCCGTTTCCTCCAGCACCAGTGACACATTTAGCTCTCCTGGTCTCCCTTTTAACAAATGTTGCAAATTCATGTGACAGTTGGAAAATGTCATGATTGTGGTAAAATAAATTTAGATTTGGAACTGCTTTCAGCCAACTGCAACTAAGAATGATAAAAACTCAACCTAAACATTAGAAGAATATAGAGTGCTTTTTAAAGAACTTTAAAACAAAATTTATTTTGTGATTATGGTTTTTATATAAAACGAAGCCTAACATTTTCTACATCCATATAAGAAGCCATATAACAGATGATCTGTTTTATAACTAATCTGTTATTGCCAATTATTCAACAGACAAATAAAGCCAGAAGAACAAATTGATCGTAATACAATAAACTCTGTGGGAAGAAAAATTAAAAGTTAAAGAGATGTTCTTAGTATAATGTTTGTTGTCCATAACTGATTTACTATTCAAACCTCTTACAAGTCCTGAAATTAAAAATAAAATAAAAATCTATGCTTCAATATTAATTCTATCAAGTGTAAATATATATAATTCTCCCACTCAACATTACTACTTCAATTATTGTAGCATTCTCCAAATTCCACACTAGCCAAATTTTCAACCACCCTAAAGCCATACAAACAACTCTCTAATAGATTTTAGGATAATGATCCATAAATCTCTCTCTCTCTCTCTCTCTCTCACACACACACACACACACACACACACAACAAAATAGTAATTAACTCTGTCCCCAACTGCCTTCATATCTCCTTCTTCCTATGTTTAGGTTCTATTCATCCTTCTCCCACTTCCAGAAGTCCTTCACCCCACCCCAAGCTTGAAGTGATTATGGTTCTTGTGAATTATTTATTAGATTAGTGTGATACTCTTTCTTTATATCTTCATGCTTCTCAGAAGTCTTTAAAGCACATATCCATGTTTATTTGGTTTTTATTCCCTACAGCACATAGTTGGCAGTCAACAGTATCTGATAAATGAACAATGAATGAGTGGATTAAAGTATAAAACTCTGTATCATGTGAATGTGAGTGTAGACAAGTTATGAAAAAACTAATTTTAATTATGAATTAGCCTTTAAAACCATGATATGTCCTTTATTATTTTAGAATTTATGTCTTATCCTCCAAAGTAAGTGGATATTGATTTTTTTAGGATGGGACAATTTTGTGTACCTACATCTCAAATCAACATCAAGTTTCATATTGCTTGTCATCTACCTATAGCAATACTGAGATTATAAAAGATATCAGCATAAAGTCATCATAATATATTCTTTTTAAAAATATTTTATTGATTTCAGAGAGGGAGAGGAAGAGGGATAAAAACATAATAATGACAGAGAATCATTGATTGGCTGCCTCCTGCACACCCCCTACTGGGGATTAAGCCCACAACTTGGGCATGTGCCCTTGACCAGAATCGAACCTGGACCTTCAGTCCACAGGCTCATTCTCTATCCACTGAACCAAACCAGCCAGGACTACATTAGTATTTTTAATAAAAATTACATTCCTAATTTTTTGGAAAGGTATAAAAGGAGCAATCAAGATGATTTATTGGTACTCTTGAGTTTACATTATAAAATGAACAAAGTATTTTAATTAGAAATTAAGCAGCATTTAATAAAAAAGAGTATTTCTCATACTAACACAAATACATTTAGAGTATTATAAATAATCAATTTGGAGGAAGTAAAGAGTAATTGCAATATATTTAATGTCATATAATTGAGAAAGTGTGAAATTCTATCATTTTCTATAACTAGATCTGCAAGGCACAGTCCTCAAACTCTTACTTAGAATATTGGCATCTTTGGCTTCTAGACTTCTAGACTGGGTTGGTTTTATAGACAATGATGCTAGTACTTTA